AGCCGTGGTCCAAACTCATAACAGAAAAACAGGTGAGAGCATGCTCTAGGGTAAAAATACACATTATCATAGAGAAGTAGAAGGGGCCTCCAGAGGTGTAGTCCAACCTCCTGCCTGAGGTTGAATCTTCCCTATCCAAACCATCTCACGCAATCCGTAATCTAAACTCTTTGTAAAACTGGTGTCAATCCTAACACAATACAAGATAAAACACCCTAACCTACCAGAGGTAAAGCAGGGGGACTACAGAAGTGGTTCAGGATAGCTGCAGAACAGCAACTGCACAAGTCTCTTATCAGATTTTAAAGGGTACGTATTTGAATTTTGCCTTCTAGTTTCCCTGTCTCTGGTTCCATCTGTGGGTTTAACACTGCCGGGATCCCATTCAGTGATGCCCTTCCTCCGAATTCAGACAACCTCCCCTTCTCTGCGTGTCAGGGATGAGGCATTGGAGTGCATTAGATCCCAGTGACAATCGGCAGCAGGGATTTTTCCTTGTTGAATTCCTGAACTTGCTAATTTTGCTAAATAAACTACCACCACTCGTGTCCCCAGGTGAGCCTAGTTCCATGTACTGCTTGTCTGAAGTGGGGCAGGAGCAGCCCTGGCAGCCCCCTCGGCCCTGGGTCAGCCGGGAACAGCAGCAGTGGTAGCGGGGGAGGGGAGGGAAGGTGCCGCCGAGCATGAATTGAAGGAAATGTGCGCTCAGGAGTGAATTCTTACTTGCCTTGGAAACGAAAAAAAAAATATCCCTGGTTGCTGCTCCACCAGCTTAGTCTGAAAGGAGAGGGTGACCACAGCACCACACCTATTTGAGATCTGCCTCTTGGTGGGTGGTGGCACCTCATGGTTGATGCCATGTCTTGAACTTCAATCTTGTGACTGTAGCAATATTCCCAGCACTTACCTGAGAGAGGGGAAATGGAGGAGGAATGGCTGCCTCGACTGCCTGCTACTGATTAATCACTGCTTGCACTTAGCCTTCTCCCTGGAGCTGCCTGCCAGGACACAGGCCTGCAGCTGTCTTAGGCACAGAATGCATTTCATCCTGCTGCTTTCCAGTAAATATTGCACTATGCAGAAAAATGTTTTTTCATAGCATCGCCTGGTGGCAGCGGAGGTGACACAGTGAGACGAGCAGGATATGAATTGTGCTGGAAGTAAACGATAGAATAAAACTTTCTGCGTCTTGTGGTTGAATATTTCCAAACAATGGCTGTCTGATCACCAAACATATCGCTTTATTGTTGCCTTGCATTGATTCTAGCAGAAACAGCCTGGACAAACAGCCTCCCATTCATCATGCCAACCTAGGAGACTTGAAAACTGGATACCAAGTCAATTCTTGAGAAAGATGCTAGGCTGATAGCCTAGGAAATATCCAGCGCCAGATCTGATCCTGATTCCCTGTACTGGCTATTGCTGGACTTTCTGATTAAGAGTGAGTCGCACTCATTCAGTGCTGTAGTACCTATGCTGATGCTGCCCAATAGAAGAGTGCCTTATGTTACAGGAACGGCTGCTGCAGGCCACCCCGCAAAGCATGCATCTGGATCCAAACCTCCCCAGGCTTGGAGGAACTTTGTATGCAGTTTCTATAAGGAGAATCCCTACCTTTTGGCTTATAGCACATAAGGCTTATCTGCAGCTTTCAAATCCTTGCTAAAAGTAGATCAAAGTGAAAGATGGAACAAACAGACACAGGATACTAGCGCAGTCATTTTCTGGGAAGAGATTTGGGTTAAAAATCTGGCTTTAAAATGAGATTGTAAAAGTAATTTTCACTTTGGTTACTTCACTGTTAAACAGGGCTAGCACTTGCCTCTCACAGCAGGGCTTCTGGGATCAAGCTATTCTACAGCTGTAGTAATGTTCGGTAGGTGACATCTGGAGTTTCACAAGCAATGAGGCAATATTACACAATTGCTGCACAGTATAACATTGTTTACAGCCTCCACTCGGGGGAATCCGTATCAGACCCAGACCATCACTTTCTGATGTTTCTTTGCAGTCTTGCTAAGGAGATGAGAAACAGCCCTCTGACTGCTGCATCTTCCTAGCTCACATAGTCCACCAGTTGTCTGAAAGCCAACATTTCTTTGTCCTTGAATGCATTTTTCCCTAGGCTCTTCTTGAACATTTTGTATTAGCAACTTACTCCATGGGTTCATGGTCAACATGTTTAGCCAACACAATGCACTTAAAGGGTGATGTTTTTCAAAAGCATTTAGTGATTTCATGGTCGAAGTCCTGGAAATCTTGTGCTTCTAAGCTATTCAGGCTTTTGGAAATTTCACTTCTTAAATTAGCTTAAATGAAAGAAAACCCAGACCTTGTGTCTGTTTCATAACCCTCGGTCAGGTGTTTGCCCTATAATTTCAAGGTATAGAAATACAATCAACAAGACTGTTAATACTGGTAGCACTGCTTATTGTTTACTAGCAGTAGATTTTTTTTTTTAATTCCCTAAATCATCCATTAGCATTCTTAGTCATTGCTCCGTAAATGTTACCCACTAAAATAGTTGGAGTGCTAAAGGCAGACTGTAGAGGGCTTGCTTTGATTTCTGAATAGCAGAACTCTGCATCACGGCTGCACTGGCTTTTACCTCCTAAGGCCCCACTTATCGCAAGTGTTTCTATAATGTTCTTGTATTTACTTGCTAATGAATAACTATTAAGTCCTTGATGACAGACTGGCCTTTAACACATCTATAGTAATCAAAAGCTGCTGGAATTAGTTTAAATTGAATAATACTACTTGAGGATTGATTATTCATTTTGGTGGATGAGTCATACCTCTCATTTCTTAATTGCATAGCTGGGGCACTGCTACTTGTACTTACCTACGTGATGACGGGGGTTCAAAGTTCTGTGCAGGGACTTATGCAAACCTCTCAGTTATTCACCGTTTAACTTCACATGCACACAACCTACCTGTAGTCCTTGGCTGCTGTTTAAATCAATCACTAATCATAGCTGACAGGCAGAATAACCTAAAACAATTTCCAAGGTAGGCATAGACTGATTTTTCTCTGAAAAGCCAAAGCTCAGTGGCTTCTATATTGCACTAATCACATCAGAAGTTTGGAAACATTTTGATTTTCCTCTTACTCCTGACCCAAAATATCTGGTGCTGGTCCCCTGTTGGAGGTAGACCTTGTGTCTGTCTGGTTCAGTATCCTATCTAACTAAATGCCATTCCCATTCTCCTTCAGCCAAGAAGTGAGACTGATGAGGGCTGGAGTATTAAGCCACTTGGGTGGCAGCAGAGATCTGCTAGAAATGAATAGTTCTCCAGTGCCACTTGCTCAGTGATTCCACGGACTGAAGAATATTTGTGCTTAAGACATTTAAATCACCAGCCCTTAGCAATCGGGAATGAAACATCTGTTCTAGCAATCTCCATGAGGTACCGCAAGTTACTGAAGACAGACGATGATTGGAAAATTATTAACACTAAACAAGAGCTTGGTAAACACTGATTTACTTCATGCTTTGGAGAACTTTCTGGAGAACAGCAGTTCACAATATGTATTTGCTGTTTTTAACAAAAAAAAATCCAACTTCTGCCAAATGCACCATGCATTCCAATACACTGCTGCTTTTCTGGGAATTTTGTCCCATATGCTCTCTTACCTAGCACTTGTTCGGCCAACAATTGTGCATCACAAGGGAAGTGAACACTGTATTTAATGGTATCAGTTGAATTATGGACTTGATTTTGAATCTGAATTTTTGTTACTGAATTTTTGCTATTGCTGTTCTAATACTGCTTATTCCTTAAGTGTCTAGAAAACACTGTACAAGTCCTGACTTGACACCAATTCAATAACATTAACTAGATGCTAGAGAACAGAAATGTATTTAATGGTTAAAAAATAACTTTCCACCCTATCTGTTGTCCATATAGCACCAAAGGCAGTGATAGAAAAATATAAAATAGATTCCTCTGGCAGTGGGTTGCTTTACTTGGGTATACAATTTTTCACTTTCTAGTCCTAAACTGCCAAACCAGACGAGATGAATGAACCGTTACAGATGCATCGAAATCAAATGTCAAAATGAGGAAAGAGGCAGAAATGGCTGAAGTTCACTTGCTTCTTCCACTGATCCCGTCCAAATTTTTTACACTCTAGGACCTACAGAAACATGGCCAGGGGCTATCAGCACTTTCATATATCTGTCCCCTATTACATTCCTTTATATATCCATCACTGAGCCACCCATTTTGCAAGGGGAAGAGCCACTAGATGAAGACTGCTCCAAGCTGGATAAAACTACAGAGAGAGTAGAAAAGCTAGGAAATCTCATAGCCTCTTCCCTGTGCCCCTTTTCCAGGATCTCCCACTGGTGGGCAAGCCCTCCCACAGTTTTCCCTGGAAGAAATGGAAGCCCCTTTTACACATTACATTTATGCTGCAATTAATATGCCATAAAATGGCAAACCAGCCATAAAAATGTTCTATAAAGAATGTACATATAATGTAAAAACATTTTTATGGTAGCCTTGTATGGTACCTTAAATTGAACATGTGACAGGTACAGGGCTGGGGCCAACAATTAGTTGATTTTTTTTTTTTTTTTTTTTTTT